AGCCACCGGTTCATCGACGCCGTCGCCTCGACGCACGCGTCGCGCGCGATCAACCACGCGCAGCACGCCAATCTCGAGTACCGAATCGATTTCGAGGCGCGGCGCGTGTCATTCTACGCGCTCAAAGACATCGCCGAGGGCGACGAGCTCACGTTCGACTACGGCGAGGAGTACTGGCTCCAGCGTGGCTTCGCGCCGGCGGACGACGACCGCGACTACTCGCCCGCGCGCGTCGCCGCGGAACGATTCAAGCTCGCCGCGGCGCAGCGGAGTTCCGGGGACGCCGGGTCGAACCCGCTCTCGCGGCGACGGAGGCGCGAGCGCGCGCCGAAGGACGCCGCCGCGCTCGCCGCGCTCCTCCGGGACCGGCCCGAGCGCTAACCTATCCCGCGCGGGCTATGTTCGTCGCTCTTCGTCGCGGCGGCCCTGCCGTGGTTGAAGTGCTTCCTTTCCCGGCGGCCTAAGAAAGTGCCTGAAGTGAGTGAAGTACAAGATGCTGCAATGTTGCATCTCTGCCAAGGCGAGGATGGCCGCCGCTCTCCGTCTCCTCCCAACGCGCGCACGGCACCAGCCTGCGGGCCACCTGCGACAACGCCTCCTCACGAGACGATGCCTCACCAGTGATGACGACGGCCGGCGCTCGCGGCTGCGCGCCCTCTACGAAGACCACGCGCTCGTCCACGGTCGCGAGGGCGCGGCGCCGACCACAGATCCAACGGTGGTCATAGCGGACCGCAAGATCGCTGACGCGGCGCGCCGCGGCGTGTTTGACGATTTGAAGGGCAAGCTCAAAACCGCCCCGCACCGGTCACACCTCGACGCCGCGCAGCGCGCCGGCGCGGACATGGCCGGCGTCCTCGCGGCGCAGGGTGTCGCGCCGCGGTCCGTGGAGTTGAGTCGCGAGGTCGACGCCGCGCGCGCGGCGCTCGTCGCGGCGATACGACGAGTCCCGACCGACGAGCGCGCCGGCGACGCCGGGCTGCTGGAGAGACGCGACGCGCTGGACGCGCTCGTCACGGCCCAGAACCACGCGGCCGTCGGCGACGCGCTCGCCTTCGGGTCGCGCGCCATCCAGGCGCCTCGCTTCGATTTCGAGAGGGAGATCGCGCGACTCGACGAGACGTAAGACTCCTGGAGTGTGTGCCGGGAGACGTCGGGAGGCCTGGAGGGCGTTTCTCCACAACGCTGTGCGCGCCAGCAGATCGCCAGCGATCAGTGCGCACCTTCGAAATTATGCCTCCTCCGCCCGCCGCCGCGACGCATCGTCCGTCGCGGTCGGCGCGCTTCAAGGCCTGGGCGACGTCGGCCCGCGCCAGCGTCCAAGCCGACACAACCGCCGCCCCTCGTAAATCCAAGGCCGATCGCCTCCGCTCCTGGGCGGCGTCGCTCGGCACGATCGGCGCGAACCTGCACCGCCTCTCGCTCCACGAGTCGGCCCCGCCGCCCGCCTACGACGACCCCGACGCCGACGCCCTGCCGGACTACGCGCTCCGGGGGCCCCTCGGCCGCGGCGCGTTCGCGCGCGTCGTGCGCGCGACGCGAGCGTCCGACGGCGGCGAAGTCGCGGTCAAGATCCTCGACAAGGCCGCCCTCAGACGGAAGCGCACCATGGCGCGGGACCCGGCGACGGGCCGGCCCAAAGTCACGACGGCCCTGGACGCCGTCGCCGGCGAGGTCGCGCTCGCGCGGACGCTCGACCACCGGCGCGTGCTCAGGGTGTTGGACGTCGTCGAGGACGACGCGCGGCTCTGCCTCGTCCTCGAGCTCTGCGCCCGGGGCCCCGTCATGGCCTACGACCCGGAGGCCGCGCGCCACGCCTGCGCCGTCTCCGGCGGCGCCGTCGCGCGCGGCCGCGCCGCGCGCTACGTGCTCGAGCTCGCGGACGGGCTCGCGTACCTCCACGCGCGCCACGTCGCGCACCGCGACCTCAAGCCGGCGAACGTGCTCCTGCGCGGCGACGACAGCGTGGCCA